AGGCATGGCAGGTTGCTTGGCTACCAGTTCTACCTCTCCCTCTACTAATATGAGTCCTGCTGTGCTACACAAATTCCCAATCATGTGCAAGGAAAAATAGATTTTATGCCAAGTGAACTGCTCTTCTACTCCTTTACTAAATTAACCCCACTTTGTTACTATGTGATATCTTCCTAATCAAATGTAATGTTGTCTTCTTGAATATACAGTTATGTGAAAACTTGAGAACATGCCATGGGGTTTGTTCACTTTATTAACTACTTCAGGATCGCTGTACGTATATATACGTCCTGGTCCTGAAGTAGTTACACCAAGATCATGGCTGCTGCTGCGTGGTACCGTTTTTTTCATCAAGCGATTCTCGTTTTCTACAAGTGATCTGGGTTGCTGCACAGTCTGCCAGATCACTTGTAGAAGCCTGTTGTCAGGATGGAGAGCAGGAGCAGACTAGTGAACATCTGTCACAGCTGTCAGAAACCGGCTGAAATAACACAGGGGATCAGGCACAATGCTGGGCTCGATTCCCTATATTGGAGGCCAGCGGAGACATCAGGGGTCTCTATAAAGAGAACCTGTAACCTCGAAATGCTATCACATAGGGGATTATTATTCTACATGCGATAGCAATAAAGTTAGGTGGGAAAAAAAATAAAGTGAAAAATTGTAAAATAAATTAAAAAAATGTTTTTTAATCAACCCGCCACCAACATGGAAAGTGTGCCAGAAAGAACTTCACTGCAAGTTCAGCTTGACATTGAACATATAGGAAACGACCAGGCCTTCTGAAACAGTGTTCAGTGAACTGATGAATCAAAGACAGAGTTGTTTGTCCATAGTTACGCTAGACATATTTGGTGCAATCCAAATACAGCACTTCAAGAAAAGAGCTTCGTATTAAACCATGAAGCAGGGTGGTGAAAATATTATGGTTTTGGGTTGTTTTGCTGCTTTAGGGCCTGAGCAGCTCACAGTTATCAAGTCCACTTGAATTCTGTATCATATCAAAGTGTGATAAGTTGAAGTTAAACCAGAAATGGATCTTTTAGAATGATAATGATCTGAATCACATATTAGAAAATCCACAAGGAATGGTTAAAAAAAAAAGAAATATGGACAAATGTGTTGGCACCCTTACAGCTCATTAAAACAATGCTTCATTCCTTGCTTATAAGCAATTGTCTCATGTATACCTGCATGCCTTTGATATGTCAGAGTAAAGCAAAAAAAAGGATGAAAAGAGAAATTATTGCTCATTCTACAAAGATATTCTAAAATGGCCTACAGAGATTTATTGGTACCCCTAGAAAAGATTACAAAGAATTGGATCATAGTGATATTTCAAACTTGCTGTCTTCTGTAATTAGAATCACACGTCTTCAATCTTGTAAGTAGTCAGCGAGCATATTTAAGTGGAGAAAAGAAGTCACTCTTCTGTTTGGTATCATTGTGTGCACCACACTGACTGTGGACCAGAGAAAGCAAAGGAGACAGCTGTCTGAGGGGATCAGAAATAAAAATATAGACCAGGATGCCAAAGGTAAAAGCTAGAAGATCATCACTAAGCAGCTCGATGCTCCTGTGGCTACAACTACAAATATTATTAAGAAGTTTAATGTCCATGGGAATGTAGCCAACCTCCCTGGACATGGTTGCAAGAGGAAAATTGACCCTAGATTGAGCAGAAGGATAGTGCAAATGGGAGGCAAAAAGCCAAGGAAAAATTCCAAAGCTAAAATCCAAGGTCAAGATACATCAGTGTTTGATTGCATAATCTGCTTTTTGAGTGACAGTGGGCTCAAAGGAGGAGTCCACTTTTGAAAGAAAAACATAAAAAAGTAAGATTGATATTTGCTAAAATGCATATTGACAAGCCACAATGTCCCTTGGACAGCTGAGACAAAACTGGAGCCTTTTGGCAAGTAACATCAGCTCTAAGTTCACAGAAATTAAACTTTCAAAGAAAAGAACACCATACCTACTGTGCAACATGAAAGAGGCTTGTTTAGGTTTAAGGACTGCTTTGCTTTGTCTGGCCCAGGGTACCTTTAGTCAGTGCAGGGCACAATGAAATCTCGATTATCAAGGAATTCTAGAGGGGAACATACTGCCCAGTGTCAGAAAGCTCTGTCTCAGGTCATAGGTCCTCCGACACGATAAAGACTCAAAATACATAGCTAAAAGCACCCAAGAATAATTAGGAACAAAACATTGGACTATTCTGAAGTGGACTTCCGTGAGCCCTGTTCTAAAGCTAATCAAACATCTATGGAAAGAGCTAGAACATGCAGCCCGGAGAAGCAATCCCTCAAACCCAAGACAATTAGAGCAGTTTGCTCAAGAGGAGTAGGCCGAACCTGTTGGCAGGTGCAAAGGTCTCAATGAAAGCTACAGAAATTGCTTACTTGCAGTGATTGCCTCTAAGAGTTGTACAACAAAATATTGGGTTAAGGATCTCATCATTTTTGTCCACGCCATTTCAATTTGTTTTATTATTTTAAATATTCAGTTGAATCAAAAGCAAAGCCAGATTTATTAAAATAAGGAATAAACAATGATGAATGCTATTTTTTTCGTGGGAGGATACCAAAAAATGTGACCAGGTCTGTACTGTTTCCACAATATACTTTTGCATCTATTTATATTTTTTTAAATAATTGATTGTAAAGGCAAAATTCCCTTGTGTTTTTATTCAAAGTTATCACCTTATTCTGTAGGCACTCTTTGAATGAAGGTCTAATGCTTGCCTGTTTAAATATAGTATGTTGAAAACATCAGATGTTTCCATGGGTAGTACTTATTTTCCATTTGACCAGTGGCATAACAATCGCCATAGCGACCCAGGCGGCTGCTATGGGGCCCGGGTACAGGAGGGCCCAGCCAGGGCAGCCCTCTGATGCCGTGTGGGCCGTCTGGGTCGCTATGGCATGTAAGGGTGCTGACTGTCACTGACACAGCTCAGCAGCGGCTTTGAAGATCACTGAAAGATGTCAGTGATGTGTGCAGCGGCCGTGTGCTTTACATGCAGTATGTAAAGCACAGTATGGAGGTTTAAATAAATCCTATGTATTCCTACACCATTGTAGCAATCTTTAAAAAAAAGTGCTTTACTAGCTATAACTTTGAAATAAAGAATGACAAAATGTTGCAGCTAAGAATACTCAAACAACCTGCTCTTTGTAAGGGATGCATTATGAGTAAATCACTGCTTACTACTGTTGTGGGAAGACTGGGCCTTGCAGCAATTGCATAGGGAACAGATGCCTAGTTCGTCACATTTCTATGGTGAAGTCAGCAATAAGCATTTCATTGCCCATGTGCTGCATTCAACTTAGTTGGAGAGAAGAATGAATGTGTCCCCAACAAGAGCAGTATGACTAAGCATAAAAATGTGTCTCACTGGTTGTCACGCTTGGTAAGTAATCTGTCCATTGAATTTCAAGGTTGTTATGGTCACTTTAATCGTGTTGCCAAACACATTGGTGTAGTACTTTTCTCAATATTGACTCATCTATGTGGAAATAATTGCAATCGCTTGAAAAAAATCCAACACAGACAATTTCTCTTTCTCCCCACACTTGGCTGGCCAGCGGTGTCTATGATTAGATATCTGCCCTACTCTTCTCTTTGTGGAGCTATGTACTGGTGGCCAGGTATAGCCATGTAGTCTCCCATGAATCCTACCATAACTTGATAGTTCATGCACTGGTCACCAGGTTTCTAGGGCAACTTATGACAAATGACACAGTGGAATTTTTCAATAGACAACCAGGGTAAACTAGAAAAATACTATAGAGGTTACTGAGAAAAATAGGTCAAGTCTTTGGTTATCCCCACATTTCACCAGACACCTTTGCTAGATTAGCCTTAATGGTAAAAGGCTACGGGATGGGTAGAACTTCTTGTCTATTGTTTCCTGAGATGAAGACAGTGTTGGACATTTCTACTGTGTAAAACAACATCGTATTTTTTAATTTAAATTATGTGGATATCATAGGAAAGAAGGATTATGCAGTGATCACATCATGTGCTAAAGTTACTCTGTCAAAACTGGGTTACTAAAAACTGAGCTTATGATGATCAGAATGTATCGAAGCCAAAGCAGCAGAATGAAATCCAGGAAGCTAGCATTTCTAGAAGGTGAGGTCAGCATTGCCAGCCTTCATACTCCTCTTATGACAGGATCCCTTTAAATGTGTCCATGGCGTCCCTGTCTGATGTTTAAAATTGCAGCAGCTCCACTTCCCAGCTACCATAATTATTACTAATCATAATTTGGCTTGGTGTACATTTTGTACAATCACAATGGCATAGTCTTATGCATACAAAGAAACCCGTGAGTCACAAGTATTTTTCCTAACAAATAGCACATTCTAACCCTTCTTAGTCTAAAACTAAATATTTCCCTGAAGTTCTGTTGAGACTTATTAACCCAGACATTTAACCCGGAGCCTTAATTCATAACTAAACTCAAGAAAGAAATGCAAATGCAGATTCCTTCAGAAAACCTTTGTCCTTGTACCTTCCTGAGGAGTGAACTGACATCTCGACCAATGTGATCAGCTATCTTCTATGAAGCATTGCCCATCTAACCAGTAGAAATAAGGAGCGCGAGAGGTGTTTGTAGTCCAACTCACGTGAGCAGCCTAAGGTGAAAACACTGATCTTCCATAGATAGAGTGCAGTGATTGAGCATTAGCGCTCTAGAACAGGAAGTATATTATTGGTAGGATCACCAGGTGGAAATTTTTTTTTTTTTTAAAGCATTGAGAAAGGGAAACTAATGGAGTCACCACATCTAAGGACTAGTAGTAGTACATTTTTGTTTTTGGGCTAGAATATGCGTTAAATATATTTTTAAAAATCAAATTTTTTCATTTCCTTATAGTCTCATCCTTGCCAAACACTAGAATTTTTATATGGAATACACATCATATCTTACAAACAGGTGGGACAAAAGTTATTGAACGCAATCCTTAAAAAAATAAAATCATAAAATGTACCTTCATATCAAGAGCGGAGAGTTTTTCCAAGTGTTTGTTTATGTCTGGAGAAGCAGTCTTTTTAGTAAACTGGATTAAACAAAGTTTGTTTTCCTTCAGAAATGAAACGATGATGAAAGTATCTGTGAATACAGCTGGAACACAAAGAAGATAAGAAAGTGTTACCCTGGTGTGGTTACATTCTGGTACCAAAACAAATGACTGCAGATCAACACAAAGACAATTCTACAAGCCGGTGCTTTAAATATTACTTCAGTAATCTCCTAAAGTACATTGCTGTGTCATCCTGCTAGAAATGAGAAACAAAGCTTATGATGGATTCACAGGAAATACTAAATTACATTATGCAAAGCTATCTATCATATCACACATGTTTTATCTGTCCATGGTTTCCCATTGTATAAGGCTATTTCCAACAGTGCACTTCAGATGCCATTTCCACACTCTTGTACGTGTCAGGGACCAGCCAGAATTAACCAGCTTTTAAGCTCGGTGGGTTTTTACCAATCTCAGACTAGTCCAAATCAAGTTATACACTGTGATAAAAGACACTCAAGCAAGAACTGGCTTAAGGCGAACCTGTATTTTGCTCATATGGGTCAAAAGGACAGGGTAACAAGCAGGGCTTTAATGGGAACCTTTAAAGGTTTTGGGTCAGTCTTGTTTTAATATTTTCTATTTTAAATATATATTTTAGTTTGCAAGTTTTAAAACTGTTTTCTGTTGTTTCTTAAATATTTTGTATTACAAATAAACGTCAATTAAAATGTAACACATGACAAATGATTCCTAAAGCAGTATGAGCCTGCTAAAAAAGACAGAAGCAAACAAAGCTTGCTTTGCAGCTCCCTTTGTCTGAAAGAAACCTCCTAATGAGTCACCTTAATAAGTGAGGAGTCTCTGCTGTGATGGCTCATTGGTGTTCTGTAAAATGGCTTCTACCAGCACAGCTGAATGGCTAATGTCTAGGTATACAAAACCGCTATACAATTCATTTCAGCAGTGTGAACTCACCTCTCCTGTACCCCCCCCCCCCCTGCCCCCCTTTCTGGGGGAATTTTTGCCCGTGTTCC